TATATATATATAGTAGTTTTTTCAAGTTCAAGTTTATCATTTTATTTGACTTTATATTTTAAGATACGTTTTACTCAACTTTTCTATTTGATCTTGTATTTTCTTTATAAATTTATTTACAATGAGTGCTTCAACATCTTCAACTGCTTCTACTATGGTTCCTACTATTATCAGTACATCCCAATATTTTTAAGCTCTTTTATTTCCACCATTGACTATGGATGGAAATAACTATCTATTATGGGCAAAAATGGCAAAAGTAAATTTATTTGCAGAACAACTCTTGGATGCCATTATGTTTGAAGAATCTCCTATAACAAGTATTTCTATATCTCCTGCTATTTGTTGGAAAGCACTTCTTTTCCTTTGTCGTCATCTTATATCTGCATTACAATATCAATATTTGAAAATGGAAGACATTGCAGAACTTTGGAAGAATCTTAAATCTAGGTTTGATCATCAAAAGACCATTTTTCTTCCACGTGCATGTCATAATTGGACACATTTAAGTGTCTTGGATTTTCCAAATTTAAATGCTTTCAATAGTGAAATGTATAGTATTATCTAACAATTACGATTGTGTGGACAAAGCATTTCTGAAGAAGAAATGATTGAGAAAACTCTCTCTACATTTTCTCATGCATTTGCTGTGCTTACACAACAATACAGGAACATGTAATTTCAGAGACATTCTGATTTCATGTCCTATCTACTTCTTACGGAGAAGCAAAATGAGCTACTCTTGGGCAATGCGGAAGCTCGTCCTATTGGAACTACAGTTCCTGAATCTCATGCACTTATTATTTCAAAGTCTAAGAAGAAATTATATAAACATAGGAAACATGCTCATAAGTATCAGGGTAGTCATAGTCAAGACCATTTCTATCCATATGGAAAGAATAAATGTTCTACTATTAATTATAGTAGAAAACAGAAATCAGAGATGCATTCTTGCCATAAGTGTGGAATGATTGGATATTTAGCACATGCATGTCGTACTTCAAAATATTTTATTAAAATATTCCAAGAAAATAAGAAATTACGAGCTGAGGCTTGTGAAGTTCATACCATGGATGCGTCCATAGATTTAATTGGTGTTGATGATTTAGAGGCTTATATGACTGATAGAACCTCTAATGATGAATCAAATGATGCGCTCATTGATTCTGCAACAACACATACTATCTTGCAAGATAGACGATTTTTTATTGAAAAATCTTCAACTTGGCAAACTAAAAATATGATGACCATAGCTGGAGCAAATGCATTTTGTTTCTAAGAGGGCACAGCGATGGTAAAATTACCTGGGGGTTCCATCATAAAATATAAACATGCGATGTTTGCACCCTCAACACCTCGGAGTCTGATCAGCTATCGAGATGTGCGTATTAATGGTTATCACCTCACGACCGCCACTTTAAATAGAAAAGAAGTTTTGGTTCTTGCGAAGAACCATAAAGTTGTTGAAAAAGCTTTTGCTACAGAAAATGGTTTATACCAAATTACGATTCGGCCTCCCATTATATTTAATTTTGCATCATCTATCTCAGAGAGCCGTGTTTCTCTCTGGCATGGACGATTGGGACATCCAGGATCCACATTATTTAGAAAGATCATTCCATGTATAACTGGACACAATTTAAAGCCTGCAGATGTAGACTCTATGGAATTATGTCATGCATGTATGCAAGGTAAAATGATTACTCGACCTTCAATTTGGAAACTTCCACAAGAATTACCACCAATGCTTGAAAGTTTACATGGTGATATTTTTGGTCCTATTAATCCAATATGAGGACCATTTCGTTATTTTTTGGTCTTTATTGATGCATCAGGTAAACAATCATATGTTTCATTATTATCAACTCGAAACATGGTGTTTGCTAATCTTATATCTATGCTTATTCGCTTTCGGGCACATTTTCTTCATTATCCTATAAAAACATTGCGTATGGATAATGCAAAAGAATTTGCATCAAAGTCTTTTGAAGACTATTGTACTGCAACAAGAATCGAATTGACATATTATGTTCCATATGAACATGCTCAAAATGGACTTACAGAGTTATTTATAAAGCGTATACAACTTATTACGCGGCCACTCTTCCTTCACGCAAATCTACCTTCATCTATGTGGGGTCATGCAGTTTTACATGCTGCAACATTAATACGCCTCCGCCCTTCTTCTCTTGAAACTATTTCACCACATGAGCTCATTTCGGGTCGTGTTCCAAATGTATCTCACTTACGAGTATTTGGTTGCCGTGCTTGGATTCAAATACCAAAATCTCAATGGCGTACCATTAGAACTCATCGACAAGAAGGCATATATGTTGGTTTTGATTCACCAAGCATTATTCGTATTGTTGATCTATCAACTGGCACATTATTACATGCACGTTTGCAAAATTTCCGTTTTGAAGAAACTGTATTCCCATCTCTTCAAGGAGGAGTATCCAATCAATAAAGAAATAAAGTACTCATATTTGAAGCACCACAAACGTTTACAATGAACCCCGATCCTATGACATCTTTGGTAGAAACTGAAGTTGCTAAGATTTTGCATTTAAAATGGATTGCGGATGAAACACCTGATGGCTTCAATGATGCACCTAGAATTATAAGAGTTCCTATTAATGAGGCTCAGAATGCACCTGCTCAGATTGCAGTGCCATTGACTACAATACCTCAAGTTATAACAACAACAACTAAAAGAACTCGTGGACCAGATAAGCAATCACGTAAGAAGAAAGCTATAAAATTAACTAATCTTGATATTATTTCTCAAGAAATTGCCACTCATCTTGTAGGAATACCAATTCATGATGATATATCCATGCATAATGTACCTTCAATTCCTATGAAAAACAATCTTGGAACTGGAAGGAATAAAAACAAGTTGAGTAAAGAATTATCTATTCTATATTGTGCTACACATGATATTTGGGATAGACCATCCATTACGATAGATGAATCATTTGTATATATGATTATAGAAGCCCTTTCTTGCGAGGAAGATGATTCTGAACCTCAAACCATCAAAGAGGTGATGCGTCGCTCTGATTGGTCAAAATATAAAACTGCTATTGAGGAAGAGTATGCCTCTTTGCGTAAGAGGAAAGTCTTTGGTCCAATTGTAGATACTCTTACATCTCACCCTGTGGCATATAAAATGGTATTAATATGCAAGCGATATGCTCAAGGCCAAATAACCCACTATAAAGCTCGTCTTGTTGCTCAAGGATTTTTTCAATGATTTGGCATTGATTATGAATCCACATATTCTCCAGTCATGGATTCAATTACATTTCGATATATTATTGGAATGACAGTTCATGCCACCCTTGAAATGCATCTGATGGATGTAGTAACTCTATATCTATATGGTTCTCTTGATGCAAATATTTATATGAAAGTTCTACCTGGCTTAGAAACAGGAACTCCAAATCAACCCACTCCAGGAAAATATCATGGTATTAAATTATGTAAGGCCTTGTATGGTTTAAAACAATCCAGACAAATGTGGTATCAATGTCTTCGAGATTATTTAATTAAAAATAATTTTATAAGTGATCCACTAATACCTTGTTTGTTTATCAAAAGAGATAAAACTGGTTTTGTAATCATCGCTGTATATGTTGATGATCTTAACCTAGTGGGCACTACATCTACATGTGTTACAGCTACAAACCTACTTATACGTGAATTTGAGAATGCTGGAAAAAATAACTTTCTGCATTGGTCTTCAGATTATGCATCTTACAGATGGTAGCATTTTTCTCTACCAACTAACGTATATTAGACGAATTTTGCAAAGATTTAATATGAATTATGCTTATCCATTGTCCACACCAATGGTTGGACGTGGTCGTGATGGTCAAGATCCATACCGTCTATGCGAGGAGGAGGAGGAAATATTTGGAGACCAATATCCATACCTCGTAGTGGTTGGAGCACTTTTGTATTTAGCTACATCTACAAGACCAAATATTGCATTTGGAGTTAGTATTCTTGCAAGACATAGTGCACGTCCAACACTATGACATTGGAATGGCATCAAATATTTATTACGTTATTTAAAAGGTATTGAAGACTTGGGATTATATTACACAAAATCTGCAGATCCAAAATTGGTTGGATATTGTGATGCAGGATATAAATTTGATATTGCAACAGCTAAATCTCAAACAGGATATGTATTTTTAAGACATGGAGTTGCAATATCATGGAAATCAGTGAAACAAACAATAACTGCAACTTCATCCAACCATGCAGAAATTATTGCCTTACATGAAGCATCCCGAGAATGTATTTGGTTGCGATCAATTGATAAATTCATTCAAACAACCTGTGGATTTTCATATGATGATTCTCCAACTATCTTGCATGAAGATAATAGTACTTGTATTGCACAGATGCAAGTTGGTTTCATTAAAGGCGACAGGACAAAGTATATTGATCCAAAGTATTTTAGTTATACTCATGACTTGATTATTGATCAAGCACTTATAATTAAGAAAATTGAATCTACAAATAACCTTGCTGATCTCTTTACCAAAGCTCTCTCATTAAGCAATCATCGTCGACTTACTTATGGCATTGATATGCGACGACTTGCTTTTCTTGAATAAGAAAGTTAATAAGCTCTTTAAATAATTAAAGAAAATGATGTTGTACTCTTTTTCCTTCATCTATGGTTTTGTCCTTAAATAAAATAAAATTTTCCTAGATAAGGTTTTAATGAGGTAACAATTCTTGATCTTACAAGATCACAAAAAAGTATAGATCATAAATCTATATAAATTTTATATTATATAAATATTATGATGAGCGAAGAGGAGTGTTGAGATCATTAAATGTAGCCGACGCTCTCCATAATATTTACTGTAGACTACAATAATTACTGTAGCTACAGTATTTAGAGTCTAGTGGAGAAGTACTATTCATCCTCTTATCTTCTCTCTTCTTGTGTATGAGACACAACCAGATCAATAGATTTTGTGTGTGTGAAGCTCTCTCTCCTTAGAAACCCTTGTGTGTGTATGACTTACTATTACTCTTGTGTCTTTCTAAACATTCTCAACAAAAACAATCAACTGCTTCCAATCAACATAGGCGGTAGTTAGTTTACACACAAGATTAAAAAGAAACAAACCAAAGAAACTGGCAAAGTGTCACCAACTCAGTGTGGAACAGTGAACAGGAAGGGCAAGCAGAACCAAAGGCACCAGTTTTACACACACCCACAAAAGCAAGCCACCACTATGTAACAGTGGTAGAAATGTTGGAAGAATGAGCTGGAAGAAGCGTGTGAGGAACGACATTGGCATGCGATGGCAGCAGTTGTGCAGAGAGACCCACTTGAGCTTCAGGGTCACGCTTTTGCAGAGGAGGGGAAGGGAGGGGGTGGGAGGACAGGCTGCAACATTAGGGAATGATAAATGAGGCTCACATGGCCATGGAAGCTGAAGCTGCAGTAAGTTTCGAGCCCATGGGCACCATATCACGCTTTGTGCATGCCACGGAATGTTGCAGACGAGGAAGAAAGTGTGAGTGAGTTTAGTTGTATGGAGATGCTTGTTTTGTTTTAAATTTGTTTGATTTGGTTTTTTATTGTTGTTTTTGGTGCTGTTCAGGATGAGGACATGATGTGAGGATCACGGCAGTGGCGTGAGATTAGTAGTTGGGGTAGCCACCGAGCAGCGGCGTTGTGACGAGGTCGCATTGAAGGGGAGGGGAGGGGTGGGGAGGAGAGATGAGGAAGTGCAGCAGCCAGGCGTTTTCTCAGTGACCGTCCTTCAATTTTCCTTCAAATTGCTGCTTGTAATTCTTTTGAAAAGTTTGTGTACTGTTTGTTGCTTTATGGTTTTCTGGGTTTTGTCTGAAGATACGTCGTGCTTTTACGTGGACGTAATGAGGGACAAGTTGGGTAGCTTGCAGGTCAGTATTGGAACATTCGGATGGCCTTTCGACGTGTGCATGGGAGTCACCTTGACGTTGAGGTTTGAGTTTCATGGCAGCGCCATGTGAGGCCGTTCCATAGCCTGCTGGCATTGCGAGTTAGTGGATTTGGAGAGGTTAATCGTCGATGTCAGTGGTGCCGTGATCTGGATGGTGTTCGTGGGATATTGAGAAGCTGGAAGCCATATCCGAATTGAAGAGGATTTTTATTTTACACGTGAGTTTGGTGATATGGTATTTCTCGAGGATCGGGTTTCATTAGATCTCGGATACGTTCGGGGAGTTTCGTTTCCTTAAGACGGGCACAGCGTTCGAACTCAGAATTGGTTGACCAGACTTTTCTGAATACATCTCTCATGAAGGGTTATTTTGCAGTTAGATATTGAGATCTTGATTCGATATACTGGGTGCTGGAGTGTGACGGAGGATGTCAAAAATTGGCAGAGAAGTCGGGTCGAAGACGATGGGTCAGGCAGAGGAAAATCAAGTTTGGCTACTTGGCTGCAATGTGACCGCTAAACCGAAATGGATGCAGCTTCTCATTTGCGGAGGTAGCTTTTTTTCGGCTACATGATCAATGGAGTTTGTGAGGTGTGTGCCACCCTGAACCGTGCATTTTTCATCAGTAGAGCCTCCTCTCTTCTTTCCATATTCCTCTATTTCATGTTTAAAGTAAGATACAACTCTGCCTCGAACGTGCCCCATTTTGTACCATAACTAATGAATTATGTAATGTCCAGTTATTGAAAGCCAGGGCGACAAGTCTATCTGTTGATTTTTTTTTTTTTTTTTTTTTTTTTTTTTTTTGTTTTTGTTTTTGTTTGTTTGTTTGTTTGTTTGTTTTTTTTTTTTTTCCTTTAAATAGAGTTGAGTGTATGCATGTCGGATGATTTGGATCATATCTTAGTGGGTCGAGGTGTCTGGATCTTGTGATTCGTGACGCACGAACTTCGAGTATCTTGCTCTCTAAAGGGGGGGAAAACTACACATGGATTCATAAGCTTTTTGGATTCCCACTGTGAGCCCTCATCCATCAAGTAGATCTTGCTTATCTTTCAGAGTACTTCAGGTTTTGAAGGGACAGCATTATCACTAATGGCTTAGAACGACAGAGGAGATTACCCCAAGAATCAATTATCCAAAAGAGTGACCGAGTTGAGAACGTTTGCAAGGGCATCTGGCATCTCCTTGTTATTTGTGATTGTACGTACTCCTTAGTAACGAAATACGGTGGGACTTAGCAGAAGCTTTTGAACAGTGCAGAAAGATCTTTATTGTCGGTAATTTGAACTTTCCAATACCAATTTTGGGTGTAGGAATATGTTTACAACCGACTTCAATTCAGGTCATTGATTTTTCCTTGCCTACTGTCTTCTATAATTGAAGTTGCAGGGAGGAGTCTTGTCAATCAGTTAGCTAATTTCTGTTTCATGTGGTTTGCTAGCTTTCATGGAATTCGTCCATCTGAATATTGTATCTATTCTACTTGAGTCATTCAATTTTTGGATCATCCACCCAGAAGTCCCTTCAATTAAGCTGGAAGCAGTTTACATGTTTTGCTCGAAGTGTTCATAGTTTGTATATGAAATCGGAAAATCTCTTACAGCATTCGGTGTGATGTGCAGCTATGGCTGGTATTTTACATTTGTTCAAAGCTTTGTCTACTTGATACTTATTTCTTCATACGGCTTCCGACCTAAGCATATTGTCAATCCCTGGAAGACCTACATAAAGCTGTCAGCTGTTTTGATGGGCTCTCAAGGGCTCACGAAGGGTTCTCTGATGTTCCTAAACTATCCTGCACAGATCTTGTTCAAATTCACGAAGGTTTTTCACTTATCATTTCATTTTGTGATGGTCGCGTTTCCGCACTCAATTAACGTAGATCCTGGGTTTGATCTTCAGAGCTGGCGTCAGACATACAAGATTCCGTTAGGTTTAATGTTGTAGTACTATGTTCGTATATTTTCTTTACCAATTCAAACTATTCTGCTTCAAACCAATGTTGTTTGGGTTTGGCTTTTGCCTCACAATGTTGGCTCTTGAAAGGGATTGTTTGGAATGGACTGAAAATTGTAACTCTCTTGGTTTGTTTCTGGTTCATTGGAATTGGCTCTGCTTGTCCATGATAAATTTACACATGTGATCCCGCTGAATGGATATCAAACAAGAGGGTGTGCAGTACCAAAGAGGGCATTACCGTTCTTGTGTTGAATGTGTCCCCCTCCAACTAATCGTTGAATGCTTTATCAGGTCTTGCCAGTGATGGTGATGGGCGCATTTGTACCTGGGTTGAAACGTCGTTACACCGTACTAGAGTACATTTCTGCGATTTTACTCGTTTTGGGGCTTGTGACTTTTACACTTCCAGATGCCCAAACCTCTCCTAACTTCAGCCTCATGGGCGTGATGATGGTTGTAGGACCACTGGTTCTGGACGCCTTTGTCGGAAACTTACAAGAAGTTATCTTCACTCTTAATCCCACCACCACTCAGACAAGACTTGAGACACCACTCTTATCTAGAAATGAATTTACTTTTTCCGCCGATTCTTCTGAGGGACGAGATTTTGAGGAGGTAATGTCTCATAATTGTGTGGCATTCATGTAAATTAAACTTTCATGTCCTAGTTTTTGGCGAAATTACAATTGTTATCTTCTCCTTCCGCTCTCATTCACGCGTTGCGTGCCACAGTTGGAGATGCTTTTCTGTTCTACTGCAGTAGGATTACCATTCCTCATCCCACCTATGCTCATCACAAGCGAATTGTTTCGTGCTTGGTCCAGCTGCTTTTAGGTCAGACAGCTTTCTTGCTGCAACTCCCAACAAATTTGAGTCTTTTTATGGCATCTTGTGAACTTAAGGGTGGGTCAAGCAGAGGTTCTATGACATTTCAGGGAAGTCTAGACTCTACTTGATTGTTTTCGTCCCCAGGGTACATTTGTCTTGTTTAAAACATTCCTTTGATCTAATAAGCGATACGGCTTGTCGAAACAAGCCAATGGGCATTTAGCGACTCTGATAGGATTTGGAACAGAGTGTATTTCAGAAATGACATGCGTGACTTCGCCTGAGAGGTCATAGGGGAACCATAAGAAACGTTAAGAGAACCTTCAAAATTACACGCTGGTCGAATGTAAAAAATTAAATAAAAATGTTAAGTACATCGCAGGAAAGTAAGTGAGTATTGACAGCAAACCTGGGGGCTTATTACTGTTGCAGAAGTCTGTATCAAGTAGCTTCAGAATCGTATGTTGCAGGGAGTCAATCAGACTAGATTGATGCTGTAATATGTACAAAAACGTTGAACGCCCTAAAACTTAGCATTAGAGCCAGGAAAAGCTAGGCTTCAAACCTGAACATATCATACATTCTCAACCTGAATAGCGGGTATGGGTTTGGCTAGACAAAACCGGCCATCGTTAGTAAGAGGAACACCTTTATCAAAGGTGGTGGTGGTGGCCTGGGGGTAATCGATGTAACCCACATACGGATCATGGGTATAGAATGTAGATCGGTCGTATTCGTTCAATTCCAGGTCGAAGTAGAAGCGCGAGGGCAAGTCTGGGTTGGCCAGAAACAAACGGCCGTAGGAGATAAGGTCGGTGTAGCCAGTGCGAATGGCCTTCATTCCTTCTTCCCGAGTGTATCCTCCGGTGCACATGAAGACTCCTTCATACTGATCACGAAATATTTTACAGTTCAGCTGGGTGTCTGAGACTCCTTGTGCATGGAACCTGGGCTCTGTCACGTGTAAGTACGCGAGGTTGAACCTCGACAAGTTGCGTGCTAAATGCACCCCAAGGGCTACTGGGTTTGAATCTGTGGCGCCGATGTGATCGATGATGGGGGATATTCGGACGCTGGTGCGTTGGGATCCAATCTCTGCCGTGATCGCAGTAACAATGTCGAAAAGGAACCGGCAGCGATTCTCTAAAGAACCCCCATATTCATCCTTTCGGTCGTTGATTCCATCCTTCAAAAACTGGTCCAGGAGGTAACCATGTGCTGCATGCAGCTCCACGCCATCGAAGCCTGCGTGGAATACAAACCCTTCTTATCAGAGAAAAAGAACATGTTACTGTGCGTAGACCAGAGAGAATCATGGATTCATGCCTTACACCAATATACTTTTTTCGTCAGTACTAACATCAAGATGTCGGTTAGGAAGGTAAGAATAAATCACAACCTGCTGCAATGGCATTTTTGGCTGCTTGTTTGAACTGCTGCAAAATGGGAGGAATTTCGTGAGTGGCTAGAGCGCGTGGCTCCGAGAATGGCACCATTTTGCCTCCGCTGAGCCTGAACAGAAACGGGGTCTGGATGCCTATGCTTGTTGGGGACACTGGCGCTGCTCCGTTGGGCTGATGATCTGCCATCACAGTTCCACATTCAGTTCTGCGGTCATTGAAGAGCGTCTTTGCAACATAGACGCTTCAATCACGTCTGAAATGGACGTGAAACAGTGCGAAAGCACCAGAGTATCCAGAACGTTGCGAAGTGCAATTTTGTTTTAGTTACAAGCATGACATTGATCGCCTTGTCCTGCTTGTTTACGTCTTCTAACGGGTTTTCAGTGCCAATTCATACATTTTTCATTCAGGTAATTGCGACTCTGGGAAGGTATACTTCAGCAAACTTAATGGCTTACTGCAGATAATTATATCCATTTTTACATAAATGAATGAATGAAGTCATTGCTAAGTGCTTTTTTGCACCCAAGATATGGTTACCAACGTGAGCGTTGGCTTCAGAGGGGTGTGAAGGGCTCACATTTGTGGGAGGCCCGACCAACGTGCCAGATCTGGCAGTAAATGTAGCAGCCCTTGACATGCACAGCGTCCACTACTTTCCTCCACGCATTCACTTGTTCTTCGGTGAAAATTCCTGGCGTGTGCGCGAAACTGCCTCACACAAACATATTCCTCTACCGTTATAATCAATCCTGGAAAGTGCACTGCTTTTGCAATAAACAGAACACAAGCGGTGGTGAACAATAGTATATTAATCCCTACGTATTCACTTGATCAGTTCAATCTTCTCCACTGATCTCTCAATTAGGAGGTACAATTACTGGTGTCTAGCACTGATGTACTGTCCCACTCCTACTTGCGGTTTAACAGTGGATGCATCATTATGAAACATGAGGCGGGAACTATACATGGTTTGTGTTGCGGCACTGTGAACCAGCTCATCACACCTCGATTAGGCCTACCAAGATCAGTGTGGCAATGACCTTCTAATGGGTATGTAAGCTCATGTCTTCTAAAAGGTATAAATAAGCCACGGTGTCGAGCGTTGATGCATGTGAAGAAGCGACGTGCATCAGAGAAACTTCCGCACAAGGAATTTAGTGAAAGATGTTTAAGGCGTATGTGTTAGACGCATTGAAGTGTATGAAAGGGGAAGGCAATTTTGTGATCGATTGACTATCTCAGGATAGTAAGCAAGCATGAGTTAGAGGGTTTGTTTAGTTGCTGTTAAGTTTCTCACCCATAGCCTTCGGGGGCAACAGCATTGGCCTCAGTAATGAGAAGTCCGCCTGGTGTGGCTCTCTGCATGTAATGCTCCACATGCGCGTCTTGTGGAACGCCACCGATCGCCCGGCATCTTGTCATCGGCGCCAACACCACCCTGCACATGCATTACACATCGCCCCTGCCACTGAGCTTCTTAACCCTCTGTCAACAATTGTGCGAAGTAACCATATTTTTGACTCGTCACAAAACCCATTTACAATTGTAGCTATTACACTGGCTGCCAAACCGAGCATACGGGTTACTTCTTGAGCAATCATGGACGTGTTATCTCAATCAGAGATGTTGTGGTTATGTCGATAACCCGAATCTTTACACACTTATGGGACAGTCGCGGCGATGCTGAAAAATGTTAGGAGTCCCATTGACCAACTTTCTGGAACTTCGAAGTATTCAAGAGCATTTTCAAAAGAAGCGTTGCAGTGGATAGTGAGCTCATACCTATGATTCAGTGTCATGCTGCCGACTTGCAACGGCCAGAAGAGCGGATTCTCATCCACGGGCTCGGAATCTGTTGTAGTAGTGGTGCACACCTTCGATGATTCGTCGTTACACATGGAAATGGCTGTATAATTCATGCTAATTTCGAACTACTTAGTTTCTGGACTGTGCTTGTCCCCTCGACGCACTGGCACCTTTATAATGTTTGTCCTGCTGAACGAATATTCATGTGCCTTTAGACACAGGTCCTCTGCGGCGAAAAAAAGGGACGGTGTAAAGGCGGCAGCTCAAATATTTATTCTTTCTCAACTAAATCCTTGAACTTAGCTCATTGGGTGGGACCGAAAAGCGATATCATGGAAAGTTTTAATGAATTAAATTTCTCGAGACGTAACTACGAATGTTTCCGGATGATCATGAAACTTTTTCTCTAGCGATGCATGAGTGACACATCAGCTAATAACAAGAATGAAATTGGACTGGTTGCTCAATGCAGTATCACTTGGGTTGAAGACGTACGATCAAAATCTTCGTGTAGGAACACTGAAGTCGGCGCCAGACGCTCGTGATTCAGATGATACTTTTCAAAAGTACGAAGTCATATGTGTTTTGAGTCCCGAGACAGTTCACTCGCTTTCTCGGTTCACACTCCAAATTGGAGGAGGGAATTGAAAGGTGAAAAGGAATCCTTACTCTGCAGTGAAAACAAGACCAACTGCAATCTCTCCTCGTTCCCACTACCTCGTCACAAATCGCTGGAAATCTGGCAAGAATTCAAATTGAAACGCTTTCAACTTCTACAAACCATTCGTCACACTTGTCTCGTCACCTCTGTCAGCGATTAAACTCATGTGCACAATCCGATTGCAGCTAGATGACTCATGCAGGGGGTGATCCGCGCCTTCTGAAAGCCTTGGGTGGACGACGGTGGGGGGCAGGAATGCTTTCTTGAGCACGGTACGTAGGCCTGTTGACCAAGAAAAAAAGCGGCTATGAATTTCGTTCGATGGCAGAAGCGCACAAAAGAGTGGAGCTAAGGCCAGGGACGTGCAGATGTAGAAAAAGGATAATGCTGCTTGACAAGGTCAGTCAGAAACTCGGCAAAAAGTGGCACTGTGGATTAGGGTGGGACTATTTTAACTGTCTGGGATTGAGGTGGCACAGTGGTACTTCGTTGGGTGGGGGTGGAGAGCTGGTGTAGGTGGGAATGCTGGCAGCGTTAACCACGTACAGGAACACGCTCAGCATTCCAACTATCTCCGGTGGGGTACAATCTAGCAAAAGAAAAATCCCAGAATCGGACAAAAGAGCGTTTGTGACTTGGCATGAGAGCGTACATGAGCCCCAGACTGTCTATGAAATGTTTTCAGCTAAGCAGGGATAATATTATCGCAGCGTTACATCTGAGGCAACAACTCGCAATGGCAACATGGCATCGTGGAACCGCGCTCTTATATAGGTGAGAATCGGAGAGGATAATGTCCGTTCAACGTGGGTGATGGCAGCACCCTCCGTCACGATGATCTCATGCTCTCCCCCAACAGAAAATCCGTGACCCACCTCTGCTCTCTTGCACCGCCGGTTTTGGCTTCCACCATTTCTACTATTTTACCATCATCTTCTCCTCCTTTCCGTAGATCGGCGCCGTCAATCGCTTTACAAGCTGTGAGTTGGATTCCACGCAGGCCTCCTTCATCTGTTGCTCAAGCCTGTCTTTGACGACTCCCTGCACTTAATCTTCTTACCACGCATGCTGATTTGTTGTTCTCTAGCCGAAATCCGAACCGCTTCTCAGCGACGACTAGCGTCGACATATTTGGAGAGTTAGAATTCATGTACTGAACAGACTTTTGGCATGCCCCATGATGGCGGAGCAGTCGAAACGGACTGGACAGGCAAACCCCTATAACCTTGAAAAGAGGCTTCGCAGAAATTAGGATTTCGGGCATTGGAGGTTGCCTTAGCACCCTCTCTAATACTTTCTTTGTCTATCTCTTATCTTAACTCAACATAGCTATGTTTGTTCCCATATTTGTGCTCAAGCTTATAACTTGCATCTAATTTTTATTTTATCAAACATGAAATATGAAAATTATAATAAAATAAAATAAATAAAATAAAATACACATTTGAATATTATTGCCATTGAAAATATCATCCATCAAGTGTGAGTGAAAGCCAATATACTTCATTTTTCAAAAAAGTATTTGTAAGCCCTTAAGACTAATGATTGAATGTTTTAAGAGAGTTTGATAAACTTTGGTCCTTAAAATGGGATTGTGGAGATGCATGTAATCATCTTCAAAATATAATATGTCAGGCTAAGATTTCATATGGTCGTATGAAAGGTGGTAGATGTTCTAATAAGACTAAAGCTCATACTATCTATTGTGGTAAGTATTTTTCATATGATCCTAATCTTATAAAGTCTAATGGTAATTATAAGAAATCTAAGATTTATAAACATTCTTCTTGGATTAGCACTTGTAGGCGTAAAGCTAAAGAATGTTCTAATTATTTTAATGAGCATATTACTTATATAATTATAGATGGGGTGAAGAAAAAAATATCAAAGAAAGGAGAAGGAAATTTTATATTCTTAGATGAGAAGACTATTATAACAATACATATTATAGACCTAATTCTGCCTTTGGAAAGAAGGTGCCTTCAAATGAAGTAACACAATCTCTTCCTAAGGAAAAAAACAATTTTTAAATTCTCATAATAATAATCATAGTATGCATAGACTAATTATGAACACAAATTGTTCATATTTACCTAATGAATGTAAACTTATTGGTAGACAAATAGCATTTAATATGAGACAAAGTAAATCTTAAATATGTGCAAAAGCCATAATCATAGAAAATCGTGATTAGCTTACAAGAAAGATCTTGAGTACTTCATCACTTATTGCTTATGAATTACATACTTCAATTAATAGATTATGATTGTAAATCTAAAGAAGAATCAAAGTATGATAATTTTACTTCTAAATATCTTTTAGCTAAACCTACTAGATTTAATTATGGTCCATACAATAGTTTTTTTAATGCTATAGACTCATTTGTGGATTTAGAGACATTGAAATCCATACCAATTATAAGAAAAAAAATTAAGAATTAAACACAACTCAAAGTTTACATTAAGAAGAATAAAACATTTTGAAGCCCATACTAGTACTAAGGTGATAGTTTATAATGATGAATTAAAGTATGAAAAACCTATAGAATTGTATAACTTAAAATTTATATTTAAAGGAAAGACTGCTTATCTCATTTACAATAATGCATTCTATTGAGCTTTCAAGACTGTTAAGTAGAAATATTAAGAAAAGTCATAATATGTCATTATTGACTAACCTATATTTTGAAGGAAATATCTTAATAATATACTTTTTTCCTAATTAAATAGTCTTATATTCTTACTACCTATAAAACTTCTACTTAGTTGACTACTTAATATGTGTATTTGTTTTTTTTCCAACATCTCCTTTAACATATTAATATTATAAGCCAAAAGAAGATTATTTCATTCATCAAATAACTTATCATACTTCTCTTCTAATAGTAATTTAATTATGAACTTTATCTTTGATGAAGGTATATACTTATCATCTTTTCCTATTCTTTTAAATTTATACTTGACAATCTCTTCTACTCTTTCATTTACTATATAATTAGCATATATCTTCTTAACAATATAAATTTTTTTTTGTATCTTTAGATCATTCTATCTTTACATGTTTAGACTTATTTTCAAATAGTCTTTTATTTATTCTATTTATATTATTGAACCTAAAAAATATATTATTAATATTTATTTTATATTTAAATTTTATCTTAGATATAAAGTTTTCATATATGTATTCTCTAACATATGCATATATAAGTAATATAATAGGTGATAATAGGTAATTGGTTAATATAATAGGTTAATATGATAGGTAATAGGTTATTAGATAATATAATAGGTGATTTAATCCTCATATTATGTGCTTATATTTCCTTTCCATAATCTACAATCCATCTTTAATTCTTATAACAGATATATCTTCTTTATATCTACTTATGAATTTATCACATGATTGTTTTGTATTACATAATATACTAACTTTCTTAAAAGGTAATTGTCTCATTTTACCACTTAGAAAATTCATCAAGAACTTTACACATTCACTTAAAGGTGGATTATGTTTATCATCGTTATTAACTTTATAAAAATCTTGATTTGCCTTTTGTTCTATTATAGGTTCCAAATAATTCTTGAATATAGGATCTGTTTTCATATTATAAACATAACCTTTAACTATCTGGAATTGTCTTTTTATATTTAGATAATAATCTTAAGATTATACCATCGCTCCAATAAGTAAACTCCACATTATAATTCCAATTTAGTATCTCAACTTCATTTGTATAAAGTATTATCTTATCCTCAAGTTGAAATATTATCTTAACTTGATAGATACCTACTTTCTCATGTAGATAACTAAATATAATGACTTAAATGTACTATTATATACTTCTATAGGATTTCTACTACATATATTGTTCTTATAAAATATTACCTTTATATTATTAAAAAAAATATAAACCTTCTTATGGATCTTATAGGAACTTCAATATTATGTCTAATCTTCATAAACTTTCTAGCTAAAGATATGTTAAAATCTTTAATCATATGCATACTAGAATGAACACAATCAAAGAAACAATCATAGAGACCATAATCTATAGAAGCACTCTTTACTTTAACATAATGGATATAATTGGAACTATAACAGATGCATCCATTACCAATCCTAGAGTTATCATAGAACATTTCAAAAATGGAGGTTAGTATTGAGAACTCACTCATTTCATGTCCATACACATCAATCCATTCTGATTCACAACCATCATATTCATCATACACATCTGCATACCTATTGTTATGCAGAAAAATACTATAAGATTAAGACCTGTAAATATGTCACTAAAAAATGCTAATATCCGATTCCAAGTTAAAGATATCCTTCCAAACAGTTGTCCATTAGCATTAATAATAGTGAGTACCAATTTTCTAAATGCAGCTTCTTTTATACTAAGGACGTAAAATAAGAGATCTCTGAAGTCATTCCACTCCATCTCCCTATCAAGATTTTGATGAAAGAACATATCATGTGCATGAGTAGAACCAACAGCCTTACACATTACTGCAAGCCCTCTCATATCCAATGGATTATCTTCTCCATAACTAGCATCAGAAGATGTCTCATTCAGAGCCAAACCCACATAATCATCAGGATTATACATTTTCATATTATCAGGTGAAGATGACAATGATTACAGTTAGAATTGTAACTTACAAGGATGAATAGAATACTCTCAGCATAACACAAAATCATACAACCATGAAAAAGAGGATTAATGACTTGACATGAATAGGCAATAGAAGATGATAATATTCAATTACACACATACACACACATATTCACACTCACACATACTAGTCTTTAAATACATGTTGAGAGGAAAAATATTAATATTTTGTTAAGATAATCAGATTTCAGCAGCAAAGGATTTCAATTAAGTACCTCATGTAAGTTGTTTGGTAAGAACTAATTAGAGACTATGTTGTAATGTGTTCACTCACACTCTTGAGAAGCATCAATTACAGCACACACAGTTAAACATGTTCACATAGAAAAGCATCATAACTGAAAATTTGTGACCAAAATTTCAGAATATGTCAAATAATATTATATGGCTCCATTACTTTAATTCCAACATATATTTTATATTCATCAAATATTTCAAAAGAAAAAGAAAAAAAGGAAAGGTTTCATAGTACTTAAATTATTGGGAACAACTGTCAACTAAAATATGATTTTGAATATGTGGTCTTGAGAACTTCAAATCAAAACAATCCACTCTACGGTTTAAAAAATGGTAACAGATCCCCTCAAAACATCGGCATATATAAACAAACAAACAAATAAAATAAACGTTCAGTAGAAAAAGTTGGGTAATGATTTGTAGGTATAAGCAACCTCCACATTATTGGGTGTTAACTTCTACACATCTTCGCTCCATCTAATATTATACATAAATAAACAAACAATAGTGTTTATTGGAAAACCTCCCCCGTACATAAATAGGCATTTTACCATATTGTGAGCAGCGATTAGATGAGCTGTGACAGAAAAAGCTTGTTGATGAACATTGGCAGCAAAGGGTACAGTGGAGGTCGGTGATGCTGACCAAACAGGTCTAGTACTTATTTCTGAAATTAGTGTGAAAGGGGATCTCCTCCTGCTGGTCTTACAGCCACATGGCTAGCATGGTGTTCGCACGAGCCTCTCCACCGCGTCTGGGGAACCAAACTATTTGGCGGGGCTGAACCAAAATTGGAGTAACTCAGAGCCTCGCGCCGTGGCCCCCGCACTGGAAAGTGGTTGTAGGTCCAGTCCGAAATCATGGTGACTCACTCCAGATTCGGCGACTCCCAGCAGAATACCACGGTAAAAGCTACCCATCAACCCACATTCTTGTCTCATTATTGATAGTCCTTTAAAAGATGGGCCCGAAGAATTTTCATACCACGTGGCAGGCGCCGATGTCTCCGAATCTTCTCCTTTTTTTTACCGGGATAAATAGTGCGATCGAATAGGGCCCATGACTGGAGTCAATGGCACCGATAAAGCTGCTTTCACGGAATGATGAGCTGCTTGCGTCACGGGTCGGCAACCATGACGCCACATACCACAATGGTTGAAGCGGGATGACGTCGTATGACGTCGTGGTCCTCTGGCGTGGATGCCACCCCTCGGAGGAG